TCGTCAATCGGAAATATATATCGATCGTTTACGGAAAGTGCCGACGGTTCCCGATTGAGTCGTTCGTCCTACTAGCTCTTTCGAGTTTCATTGGGCAAGTTCGTCTCATTTGTAGTTAAGTCGTTCTGGACAATATTGCTGAAAAGTATGTGTATATATAACATGTGAAAGATAAAATTCCATGCCTTTCATAAAATAAAAACTGTCGAAAGATTCAGGATGGCTAACCGTGCCCCGTCTTGGGACAAGTTCGGACAGGCAGTCTCGACGTGTTTACCCTTTTGATAATATTTTATTACTGACCTCGATTTCTCTCCGAATGGTTTATATACACACGGAAAATTCAACAAATGCACTTATCTTGGCCATGTTTATACTGCTAGACCAGAAAGACCCCCGTCCATAGATTTCCTGCCTAGCATTATATTTGTCATATTTATAATGTTTTACCGGAAAGGCCTCGGTTGTATCTTCAAACAATTTTACCGTGTATTTATTTACTTATCAATTTTAATTAATAAACCAAATTTACTTTAATGGAGTGGTTGTTTTTATCTGAAACCATAAACTTCTCTTCACATCAATTTCTTATACCCATATAAACTGTTTTCTGAAATAACGTACACATATAACAATTGCAATATTACAGGAAAATATGTCCCAGCCGTAACACATCCTCGATATCCAGGGGTTGCGCTGACTTTCGCTCTCTGTATCCCTGGAATATGTCATAGCAAAATTGAAGGCACGCTGCTAGCTAGTTAGCCTTTGGTGTACATCAAAAGAATCTCGCGGTCGCGTAACGGTAAAATTTACTGGCATTGAAGTAGAGTGTCGCTCCTCTGTAATCTTCAAAGGACAGGTATCAACCTTGTGATTGGTTAAGTTTTTTTACCCGACACCAATCAAAAAGTTTGCTATGACATATTCCAGGGGTGCAGAAAGAGCGAAAGTGAGCGTAACCCCTGGATATCGAGGATGGAGTGGAGGAGTGCACTATAGTGTTAACGGTTAAGTCCAGTGAGTGCACTACATGTTAACATCAGTGCACTTCAGTGTTAACTCCAATACACTACGGTGTTAATGCCGGTTAAACACTTACTGTGTATAATGAAAGGTGTTTATTCACGGAAAGAAAATTGAATTGATAAGAAAAAGTATTTAACTGAGTATTACATAATATCAATATAACGTAATATTTCGTTCTGATTATTTAAAATTCCAATTTGATATACAAAACACAAGATAAATTGTATACTTTCGTTGATGATTATACTGATTACACAAAATCAATAGATATATGTACTACTTCAAAGGGATAAAGTTTTAAGATACAGTTTAATATAGTTAAAATTGCGCTACAAAAAAATATCTAAATGCAAATTTAGTTATGACGTTAGCCTATAAACCAATGAGAAACAACCATTTTGATAATTTAATAGAATTCTGAAATCAATTAAATCAAAGTTAATTTCAAAGACCGTTTTATGTATTTACTATCATGCAATAATTCCGTTTTACCGAAAACGTGAAATACAATAGGTATACAGCTGACCAGGTGAGCCATCAAATTCGCAGGTACACAGCTCGTCAGGAGTTGGTAATTTCTTGCCTGTTGTTTAATGATGACGTATTTCATTTGTACTAATAGGCAAATTAATATCCAATGAAATAAGTTGCATCTGATAAACTCATTATAAGCCTGTATACAATAAAATATAGGTAACGTTTTATTATGTCAACCTGAAGTTTTATTCATACAGTTACAACATTACTGCAGAGGCAGATTTAAGGGATGGTTGCCTGGGGCAACACAACCAGGTATTGCTATATCGGTATACCCGTTATATCTAACCTGTGACCATCCCTTGACCATTTACCTGTGTCGAACGGGATTCTGGTCAGGCCGTCCTTATCTGTGTTGTAACTTGTGTAATAACAGTAGAGACAATTAATCCAACGTCCAGCTGCTTATCGGTCAAACTGATATACAGGTAAATCATCACGGAGTCCACACAGCCACAGGCAGAGACGTATGTAGTAAACGTCTCTTCTACATGTCAGATTATGAAACAACTGTCCCTTGGTCAGAAATAACAGCCGCGGGCAAGATTGGCTTTTTTAACAACAGCGCATTTGCCCATAGGAAAATAAGTATTTTGCTTGGAATTATACTACTAATTACCACGGTCTTAGATAGCAATCTAGTTCCGTGGTATTACATACATTTATTTTACTTGAGTGACCTACTCCACAAGACCACAGACGTACCACTAACGATACTCCAGGGGTTACACTCACTTACGCTCTCTGCAACTCTGGAATCACATTAGATTATCTAAGTCCGAGCTGTATATGTCATAGCAAAATTGAAGGCACGCTGCTGGCTATTTAGTCATTGATCTCAGCAGGGATAGTATATATAGTCATTATATAACCTGATCAATCGCTCGGGTGATACATATACGTGTCCGATGTGTTCTCATTCTAGTTAAGAAGGGGTATATAATTTAGTGCATGAATACGGACACTCTACTATATCTATGTTTTATTTTAAGTTATTTATGAATAAATAAATGAGTCATGTGAGCAGAAATTCAGGATAAATATCTACCATTTGTATACTTAAAAAAATTCTCGATATCAGATGATTGATAATTAGGATATATTTCAAGAGATGTTTAGAAAGTTTTGATTAAGTTATTTTATTTTCATCTAAGTTAAACTTGAAATTTATTTATTTCTCTTAGTAAATAACATTAGAATTGTAATTTTTCGTTAAAGTATGGTGCGTTAAATGAGTGCCCCTGAGATATGAAAAATCTTAGAAAAAGACAGCAGAGACGTAAAAAAACTGTGTGAGAGCATACGTCTCCGAGGAAAGTCAATGTATATGAATACTTACAAATTTAATATTTGACTAAAAGAGTGATTCATAGGTACATATGTGGGATTTAAAGAATATTTCACTCCTTGGGATGACACACGGGAATTTCAACCCGAGGGAAAAGATTCTAAGTACATTCGATGAAAACAAGACTCGTTTCAACGTTTCAATATTGTATTTTTTAAAAGTTCACGTACAAAAATAGCTCACGGGAACACAATTACACGACAAAACAAAAACAGCCCAGTATCACGTACGTAACAAGAAAGTAACAAGGTAAATATTTGTTCCCTCTGTACGCCACAACTATATTTTGCGGATTTCCAAACAAAATTAATGTTATTACATCGAAAGTGTGTTGCCCTACCTACCCACTTGTAAATCAATGTAATTTTGTGTTGACATCAAAATGTATCGGTATTATACAGACTGGCATCCTCGGAATTTCTCTGCAGGGAAGATCCAGAAGCTATATGAGGTATGATTTTAGTCTTGTGAGATTATCTAGAGAATACCTTTAATATGAATAGCCCCTAAAATCAGTTTTATTTCAAACCAAGACTATTCCTCTCAAACAACATTTGATACCAGCATGGTTGGTACATGTTTACAGGCGAGTTGACCAAAGATTTTTAAAGGTGTAGTCCTAAACTTCGATACCGAGCGGTACCAGGAAAATTGTGTTTGTGATTGAAAAAATATTGCCAGTATACTAAGAAAAACAGACAAAAAAATGCCCTCCTCCCCCCCCCCCCCCCCCANTCTTCTTAAGATCACATAGACTTAAATAAACTTCGTAAGTTTAAATAGCACAAACATCAATTATCTTTTAATCAGTCATTATAGTTCTCTCGAAGCAGGATACACTAGAAGTTTTTTATTATTCAATAAAATTGAAGTTAGAGGTGAAAAATAATGAATGGCGTTTACAAAACGCCCAGAGAACGGTACGAGGCATATTTTTGTCTGATGTTCAGTGTTTAAAATACCTGTCAGTTGATGCTTGTGAATCGATAAAGAAGATCCTTAAAAAAATGTCACTCGTCATATTAGGTGTGCGGTAAGTTATTGGGGATGCTTTTCTTTAAGGTTACGACAGAGAGCTATAGTCTGTGGTATAACGTTATACATACCAGCTCTCTGCCGTAACCTCAAAGGTACGCAACGTTTACACGAAACGGAAACTGTCCATCCTATCCGATACTTTTCGCCAAACATCTCTATCCGAAATGAAGTATGGGAATCCTTCCACAGCTTAGGTTACGGCAGAGAGCTATATATAACGTTATACCACGGACTTTACTAACGTTACTGTCTATATAAATATTTCTCTGCTTAAACGGGCGGTTTGCGGTTCTGCAGTCGTAATTTAGCAATCCTGGCGCTTTAAATATATTAGCAAAATACCGCACCAACCTATAGATATTCATTTTCACAGTACCTGTTTGCAGGGGAAGTAACTCAAATACGTATAGTTAATAATACTCGCGTCACTATAACTATTATCTAAGTCCGTGCTATAACTATCCAATTAACGGGAAACATCATTATGTAACATAATGTCAGGTAGCAGAAATATAAATATCTATGAATATTTAATATTTTTGTGTTTTTGTGTAAATATTGCTGTCGCCTGTTTGTCTGTCGTAATAACTCGTACCCAATCTCATTAAAACCAGATATTTTTTTCCACTCCGATACAATAATCTAACGTTAGTTAATATTCTTAAACGGGGAACACGTAAGAAATTTAAAATCTGAAAATAAATGAATGAATAGGCCTAGAACTACATTCCAGGTACCCAAAACGCAAATCTTTTATATTAGAAATGAAATGATCTGTCCTTTCCGGCAGGCCCGAGTATGTGGGATTACCGACTGAACATTCTCCCTGCGGTCTCAGCCACCGCGGTCAATCTGGAATCGAAGTAACAGAACGCATTTTAGACACTTTAATAGAAAGGTTCGTAAAACCAAGACTTAATAAATTCAGCAGTGTCATCGAATGTTTATTTATAAACCGAGACGGAAATACCTTACAGCGCAGTGGTCTATGCGATACATAATTTAGGCGCAAATCGTCACCGGTTCGGTAACGATCATGAACAGACCTGCGTATGTGCGCATGAATACATTAGCTATTGAATTTTTCAGGTGGACTACTTTCTAGGGGCCATTTCCTCTTATTCACGAACTTCCTGTTATTTCCATCGGAAATCCAGCTTCATCGAGGAATTTAGAGCATCAAAATGGGCGAACGGGAGGAGTGTGTATATAGAAGTAAATTGGCTGAACAGGCCGAGAGATATGAAGGTAAAAATTGTTTGGAGGTATTCGTTGAATACCATAACTCTGAGCGACATGATGAAACCTAGTCCTCCGCTTAGCGACAGAAAATTTGGAAATGCATGTCCAATATGACGCTGAATATTCCTTTTTACATTCCCCCTGTGTCATTCAAATGTTGACAAAAGCTACAATTATTTCCGTGTTTCTCAAACCAATGTTTAAATTAGTGTGTCCATGGATATTATTACGGCAACTGACAGCCGCCATCTTTAATGAGTATACGAACTGTCATTCATGAATTTAGGTAATAAATGCCGAAAATAAGCCTAGCATATTGTCTGCGTTCATATATACGACTGTCTTGTAATAATTAAGGTGTTTTGCAAGCGATCGATGATATATGTCTATTGCATTGGCGTGAAACATGGCCAAAATCTAAGGTTAAATATAGGTGGGGGAGGGGGGGTGTTGGAATGGGAAGGGCACTTGTAGTAGGCCCAACCAGTCGATTTCGCATATTTTCAAACACATTCTTATATGCATTACTGTTTTTGTTCGTTCCACCGAATAGCCCGTCCGAATACGATTTGTCGCCAGACGGACAGATTCACGCTCAATTTGTATTGACTTGTGAGTTGAGTGAAATCATGTTCTGACTCATCCTTGAAATATGCGATAGTTCTTCAGTTGGGCCGTTATCGCTTTATCCGACACTTTGATGCTGCTACCAAAGCAAGTTGAAAACCGTTATGCTTTATAGAAAAATAAGATGCTTGAAATTTACGTCCATGTCTCGTTTTCTGACTGTACATTAGCATACAAAATGTCAGTACACTTGTAGAGCTGTCATTTGATATCATGGACAAGGAACTGTTATACCATAATTCATTGAAGCTGCATTAAAGATTTTGAGATTATTGGATAAGGCTAAGATATATATGTGGCAGGATCTAGAGGGATTATTTCATTAGTGCATTGGTTGAATGTCTTGTATGAATTTTCTCAATACAGTATAATGTCAAAAAACTTTTATGCTGTACTAGTTGTGAGTGATTGAGACATATGAAGTGGCATGTATGAATGATGAAAAAGTTCAGGCTTAAACTTTTGTAGCAACTGTAGCCAAAATCAGGTTGGGCATTAGAGTTGGTTCGTTATTCGCTCATCATATGATATATATAGCAATACTTGGTCACAATATGATACATATGACTGTGAGTATGAAAAATGCATGTGTGTGAAAAATGCAGTAATAGCTAAAAAGGTATTTTCAATTTCATATTAATTGCATGTTTTGTATGGGTTTTTTTCTGTTACTTGTCTGATGGACACTGTAACTGTAGGTACATGAAACTTGGTTGTCTGGACAGAATCCAGGTGTCGGCCACAAATTACCACATCACCAATAGTGCTGTACCGATAACCGGAAACATGAATTAAAGCGAGCTTGACATGAGGTTGATTTTATAATCAATTTAACACATAAAAGTTTGATTTTGTAGATTTTTCGTGAAGAACTGAAATCTCAAGATAACATAGCTTTTCATGCTTAATCCAAAATAAAACGTCCTCTTCATCAGTTCTTGTTGATTCTCGCTTGAACCATGTAGCATTCAAGCATGGTAGCTAGCTATACCGTCATACGTAATCATGGTCGTGCAGTGTTTTGTAGACAAGGCTATACTTATATAAACTGATATAACCTGGATATTCCGAAACTGCATGACCTGATTTGTTTGTGTTGCAATCTCGATCATCACAACTCATCTGCAGGAGATAGGAAAAGGTATGCTCACTTCTCAAATAGTAATCCATTGGTCATAGTAAAATTCTGAAGTGCCTTTTCCCATCATATGAATGTCTTTTAAAGATACTTGATTCTTTTCTTAGCAAAAGAACATCTAGTATACAGGGGTGTAAATATCCACTAGCCCGACGCCCGGAACAACCAGTTTTAGTGCTTGCTGCTTGGGCAAGTGCAAAAACTTGGCCCACTTGTCCTGGGCAAGTGTGTTAGATTAGTATATAAAACATCTTTTTGCATGTTTTTCTCCGTTCCCCCAAATAAGTAATTAACTAAGCTCTTTGTATTTTAGTGGAAAACATTAAAATAATTATAAAACAAACTAAAATTGTCTCTTCATCAATTCAGAAAATTTTCAAGACTTTACGGCCGATAAAAAATAACTGAAACTCCAGCTAAAACATAAAGTAGGAATAGATAAATGATTTACTTAATGAATGATTATGTGTGTGTACTAGTTAACTACAGAAGGACATCATTTTGGCCTAAAAAAATGTCTTCGTTCATCAAACAGGAAGTTGCATTGGTGTGACTAATAACCAGACAAATCCTGACCCGGATTTATAGCAAATGATATATCATAATAATAGCAAAAAGAGAGAGAAAAAAGACAAATATTTCATGAAAAATCCTATTATTTTGAAAAATTTGTTGTCTGTACATGGGTCAAGTGCTCTGATGATTTTTTTTTACACCCCTGGGTATATCAATATTTCTTATTGAATGGACAGTGTCCATTTCTTAAACATATTATTTTTGGTGCATATTTCAACCGATTTTCGATTATCAATCAATCTACAATATCGGATTGATTCCCTGCACTAATCTCTAGCAACCAATCAACAAGTCCTGATTTATGTTGAATATATGTAAATACACATGTCAGGTTTTCTTTCAAACAGATATGGTAGAATGGATGCAGAAAGTGGCAGAAATGGATCAAGAGATGACGGTAGAAGAACGTAACTTGCTTTCTGTTGCCTACAAAAATGTTATTGGAACAAAAAGGGCATCATGGAGAATAATAACTGGAATTGAACAAAAAGAGGTCGAAAAAAAAAGTGAAACGGGCAAGCAATTGGGTTACATCGTGGAATACAGAAAAAAGGTTTGTAAAAAGTATAAATATGCAGACTATCAATGAAACAAACTTGTTGCTATTTCTCTTAACATAGAACACTCAATGGTGTTGACTTCGAATAGTCCGTCGACTGTTCACATGTTATAATGTTGATATATGTATACTCTAAAAAATAGCCAGTTCAGAGTTGATAAATAGCAGACTCCTTAAAATGAGAACACTTCTCAGAATGTGTACCTTCATTTTGGTAGCTCTGACACGAACGCAAGTGCCTTTGAGCCTTTTCCATATATACAGTGTGTCATCTGTCTTGCATCAAGATCTATATGGACCTTGAAAAGACTTGAAATTACCTTGTGTCGTGGAAAAGCCTTGTAATGCAATTGGGGCCTTGAGATGCTGGTCTTTAACTCATTAACCCCTGAAAACACATTTAAACTCTTCCAATTCAAAGGTTGGAATAGGTGAATGAGTTAGAAAAAAAATCCTTGTTGAATTTAGCATTTCAGTAATCCATGTATTATACGATTATCTAGTTGGGTCTCTTTGTGAATTTCAATAGGAATGTATGTCATTTTTTTTTTTTCATCATTGGACAGATTGAGCAAGAATTGAAACAAACCTGCAATAAAGTGTTACAAGTGTTAAAAAATATCTTGGAAAGACAGGAACTTACATCAGGAGAATCGAAAGTGTTCTACTATAAAATGTAAGTACTCTTTCATCAGTCAAACTTTCAAATAACACAAAGGATACATGAAGCTTTGTTTTTTTCCAGAGAAATTCATTTTGCTGTAATAATGTATATGTGGCATGCAGGAAAATCTCTACCACGCTCCTGTGAACAGCATGGTGTTTATGCAATAGCTTTTGCTATTGTTTGTATAATTGTATATATGAAAGTATCGTCATCTGTGTTGGATATGATATAAATCAAGGTGAAAGCAGATCTTGTGGTTGCATTTAGAATGTATGGGTGATTTTGAAACAAGGCTGTTGCCTGTTTTCATGCAGGAACTACATTTCAAAGGAAATATATTACTGACTAGCACCTAAAGCCCCTCATTTATACATCTTATACAGTACGCACTTAGGCCTATTGCTATAAAACAGTCACCAGACTCGCCACCATATTTAAATTGGATCAGAAGTGGTCACTTAGCAAATCTTTTTTTTCATTCTTTTATTAATTAATATGAAATTGTAGATCTAACTCCATGTTTTCAAAATATTTGTCAGATTTTATGCGATTCACTATACAAAATAATTAATAAAAAAATCAAATAATTTAAAATTGTACCACTGTTGAGTTAAAATTATATAATGACAATCTTGGTAATGCAGAATTATTATTGTAAAGTTGTAAAATTTATATGTGATGAATATTTGTTATCACATTGTAAAAATTTGTCTTTGGAGATTATACTAGAGAAAATATCGCTATAACGAATACAATACATGAATATTGTGGCCTGGATTATTTTGTGATATGGAATCAGTGTGGTTACTGGTCAGGTCTTTTTTTCATGTAACTGTCTGGTGATGGTGGTGGGGGAAGTGCTTTGAATGAAGCTTTCTAGCAGCTTGTGAAATCACCTGGAAACTGCAAAAGTATCTTGCATGCTGTTGCAGACGATCGGTTGTATGACATCTTGTTTTGATGCATACAATTTTACTGACAAGTAACATAAGCTTGTTGGAATTTACCATGGCAATTTGCACTTCTCGGGCAAATAACTGTTAGAACTCTCCCAAGTGAGAGTGTTATTTGATCTGTTGGACAGTGGACAATCTGTATGTTTTTCTGTACAATTTAACGACAAAAAGGATTTGGTAGCTTTGTCAGTGACTCAGTACTGAAAACACCACAGACCAAGTACTGCCCACTGATGAACACACAAACTGTGTGTTTCAACAGGTACTGATGGCTTTATGATGAAGCAATATGTCTGCTTTATTGTATATCAGACACTTATTTAACATTTGTTGGAATCGAGAAAAAACTACATCAGGCTACTTGTTAGACTGGAACCAGTCAGTGATCAAAATTAGTGTCCTTTTTGTTGCTGGTTTATTTTTCTTTTTATGATTCGTATTTGCACATGCCTGCATGTAGTTCTGTATATCATCTGTCTATTACACATTTTTGTCAAAAGATTACAAAATAATACATTTAATATATATGAGAGGCACATATTTCTGCGTTGTTCCTCATAATCGTAATAATTATTGTATACATGTAAGTACAAGTTTTTGCAAGTCTTCAAAACACTTGGACGAGATTATTTTTTAGATTTAACACTTTACACGTTTAGACAAGGATTCTTTTGTAATGTTTTAATGTGAGCAGTGTAAAGAATATTTGCTTCTTGCAGCAGTTCTAATACATGTTTTTAAATACATTACAGTGAAATGAAAATTTAAAAACGATTGATTAGCCCCTTTTTTAAATTCAGACTATCACTTTTAGTATTTAGGAAGTTAGTTTTTGTGGTTGTTTAACGTTAATATTCATATGTAGAAGTAAATATATTAATTTCAACGGTGTACTTTTAAGTTTACTTCAACCTTAAACTAAACTCTTTAAGACAACAGCTTTAAGTGTTATAATACCTTTCCTGGCATCGTGAGCAACAATGTGCAATGGTTGGTAATATTGGCCTGGTGTTCGCATTTGAATTCTTAAAATATCGTGAAAGTATACGGATATATTCACTAAGTCGCGCATCTACAAAGCTGCAGAGGACGACAAAGAGCCAGTTTGGATTATAAGCCTTGTGAAGAATCTCAATGAAAATACTTTGCTGTACAGGTAAGCATGTGATTAGTTTCACTATAATGTAATTTAGTAGATGGGCAGGAACGGTTGAGCTTCTTTATTCCGCAAAGCCTGAATCAAAAATCATCAAGAAATTCAAATTCAAGAATTAGATTCATAAGTGATAAAAGAAGGAAAATGTACTGCTAGTAAAACTTGTGTACAATATCTGTATTTAATATTCTGTATTTTCTTGAGTCTGGCATTGTTGAAGGAAAAGCTGAGTCTTTAATGTCCAACTACATCTCTGATCAGTGTGTGTGTGCCTGTAAGAATGCTTTAGACTGATGATGGCAACGTTTATGTGCCTTATACATTTGCTTTCTGGGGTTGCTGTAAAATATTTAACTTAATTTAGTTCACGTTCATGAAGTGTCTTTTTTTTTGCAACGTTCAAGGTTCTAATCAAACTTCTATCCTGTATTGCTATATATTTAAGCTCCTGTCTTAGCGGAAGCATTTTAACAACAGTTGCATAAATGTAATTACCTGGTACAAGACATATCTTCTTTACATGATGTTGTTCCTGTAATTCTGAAATTTTGAAAGGAATTTTTTTTTACCTAAAGGAACATTTATTTTAGCATCTCTGTTGTGTTATTTACACGGAAATTTTACCTTTTTTAATGCAATATTGAACTGTAATGCCTGTTTACATGTACGGAAACACAAATGTGCAATGGAAACATGAAGGACCCAACTCTTGAAGGCAATGTATATATGCACTGATCTATGTACTTCTGCTAACATATCTGTTCTGTGATAATATTAATTATTGACATGTCCAAATAACCATCTGTGTTCTTTCCAATGATTCAAATTCTTTCCCTCACTGTTACTAGTTGGATATTTTATTCCTCGAGATAACTTGTAATATGACAGTTTTTCAGTAGTCTGTAGTCGAGAACTTTTACACAAGAAACAAGGTGACTAAACCATTAATACAAATTCCACAGTCGGAGCACAATTTATGAAAAAAATCAAGGAATCGAATAAAAAAAAAGATTAAAAAAAATGGTGTAAAAAATCTTTACAGAAAAAGTCTTGCACTGTCTAGTTCTCGTTGCATTAGTTGTTCCCACCTTTACCCCTTATCCTGCTGTATACCAGCTGTGTTTAACACCTTGTGTTCAGCGTTTTGTATTTTCCATACTCCTCTGTTAGATCGGGAAAGACCTGGATAAAAAAAATATCTCAAAGGGATAATGACTTTCTGAAATATTGAAATTAAGCCCAAGTATTATTTCTGGGTTTCATTTTGATATGGAGGTAATTGTGAATTAAGCAATTATTTAATATATGCATACTCTAATCAGTTTCATGAATATTTTTAAACTATTTTTTTTTCAAATATTTAGCAAATAATTATCCATTATAAGATTATAAGGTAAAGATAAGATTATGTTTATAAAATATCTCCATTTTTTTTCTTTGGTCCAATTCACAACCAAAATTAACCCATGAAGGAGAAATAGTTTTTTCCTCCCAATTTTTCAAACTTCCTACATGCATGACATTTAAATGTAAATTTAAATTTAGCTTCATAAAACAATTGATCTCATAAGTGGTATTTAAACAGCAGAATCTTGGATACGATCGGTTAAAAAACTAAATTGAATGTTCATTTAGCAATTCTCTTAATTCTATAACCCATCCCAATTGGTCAAGTAAAAAGAAGAAAAAAAACCCACTGATTCAAAGACTAACTGTGGCTGTGCACACTGATTTTTCTTACATGTTTAACTTCTTTGTCATATCCAATGAAATTTTTATCTTCTTTTGACTGCATGAACTACATGTAGAAATAAGACTAAAGTCCATTATTTAATCATGCCATTATTAATTGCTTTTGATAAGAAGTGAACCAAATAATAAGATAACAAAATTCACATAATGGTGGCTGCCCTTTTTTCGACATTTAAGTGAGATGATTCAGGAAGCTGGAAGGAAATGTGCCTCCACTATCCCAAGAAATGGTGCTTGCTGTATTTGCCAGCTCCTAATACGAAGTATGAATGGAGGGACTTGATCATACATAGTGTGTTAACAGTGGGAATTGGCAATAATTGACAACATTAGATTATAATCAACTGGCAGTAATTTCAAATGGTATATGTGTCTGCAGTGGAAAGCAGGTTTTTGAAAAGGCGCAAGCTTGCTTTTTGTTGACCTGGGAAATGTCAAAGTTTGTGTTTGTCAAAACTGAGAAGTTACAGTAGTATAGATGGCATCACTGAAGGCCAGCATGGTACATACCCAGTATGTAGATGAGATTTCCACAGATCTTGGTATAGATGTTTAACATATGGCAAGGTTTCTTGTTAGGTAATATAGATTTTCAACACTACGTTGATACCTTATTTTTGGTTAGAACCACACATTTCACTCACCATTGCATGATTAAAATAATTTGCCAAAGTGCCATGGTTTTTTGTTCCTGGATTCTCGCCACTTCCAGCCTTCAGAGAGATGTATGTTGAATTCCTCTCCGGCAAGGTTTTCTTTTTGGTACTTGCACCTAAATTTTCTACGAACGTATTCTTCTTCCATGGCGACGCTTTATAAAAGTTCCATCACAAAAAACGCAGGATGTTTATAAATGGCAGACTAAACCAGCTGCTTAAACTGCCCAGATGTTCGAAGCTTTCCAGTTCTGATAGAATTTTTGAAGATGCAAGAGAAAATATCTCAAATCCCAGGTAAAGATTTGGTAAGTATAGTGTTCTCTTTTTAATGTACTGTATTGCAAATTAATGTTGTGACTGCTACTATTAGATATGATAATTTGATCATAGTCTTTGACATGGGGTATATTTGGCAAAATATTGTAATCTCTCGGTAAACAAGATGTTAGCTTATGATAAAGCATATGTTTGGGCTTCATAAGGTTC